TTGGGCCCATGATGCCTCCTGGCATCAAAGTGTTGATCCGCCAACTGGGCGGCTTCAGTTAGGGTGAGGGGTTTTCTGTCCCTTACCCATTCTTGTGCCTCTGGTAAAAGTCTGTTAAAGTACTGCTCCAGTAAAATTAGTTGGTGCAGTTCCTCCATGGTGGTGGCTTGGCTGGCCTGAATACACCCTTGAGAAGCTTGGTCTAGCTTATGTGCCAACTCAGCGTGCGAATCTTTTTCAGGCTTTTCGCAATCCCCGAAATTTGTGCCGATATGCCTCCGGTGTGATGGCATATCTCTCTAGGATTGCCCGTTTGACTTTAAAATAGTCCTTGCTGTCCTCCCTGGGGACAGCGCGATAGGCCTCTGCTGCCCGCCCTACCAACTTTCCTGCTAGCAGGGGCACCCACACTGCCTGCATCAGGTCGTGCAGGTCACATAGCCGCTTGAAATCCTGCAGATAACCGTCAATTTCATCCTTCTCCTCACAGAATGCTTGAAACGCCTGGTACGGTATCTTCTGTTTCACCGGAGCGCAGAATGAAGTAGCAATGGATTCTGCCCTGGATGGTGCCCCCTGGTGCTGTTGTGCCATAATGTACTCCTGTACGTCTGCCATCAGGACAGTCAAGATGTCCAGGGGTACTGGCTGAGGTACAAATTCCAGCCGGGTTCTCAGTTCCCTCTGATATGGGGTTTCCTACCTGGCTGGTGGGGGTGTGCTGCTGTGTGCTCGGTCGCCCTCCATTAGTTCTGCAATTAGTACTGCCTTGGATTTATTGCTAGCGCTTTTCCCTCTAACCTCCAGCAGTTCCTTTAGCGTCTACCTTTTTAAAGTAGTGTAATCAGTCTCCATTCACTGATCTCTTTCGTCTGTTTGCTGCATACGAATTGTCATTCCCTTTTTCCGTTCGGTTGTTCCTTTCATTTGAATGCGCTGTTTCGCTGCATACCTGCATTCAGCAGATAGCCCATACAGCAAATACACGTTAATTACAACCAGCATACATTCTACATAGTTAAGCATATATCCCACAACCATACAGGCAACCCTTAAAGGCACAGTCTCTTTATAGTGTCCAAGTGGCTATGTTTGCCACAATATTCTTCCATTATTTTATTCTCAGTTTGAGATAAAGGTGACATAGTACCTGGAAGGAGTTTGATGGCACAATCGTAAGGCCTGTGAGGGGGTAGACGATCGGCCTCCACTTTTTCAAATACTCTCTTGAGATCCATATACTGAGGAGGTATAACAGTGGAGAATGGAGGAGAGGTAGGAGTATTAAGAGAAGAGTGTTTTAACCTGGTTAATGCATTTATGCATACAAGAAGGGCTCCAAGATAATACCTATCTTTCTCTCCAGTCTATAACAGGGTTGTGTTTCTGTAACCAAGTTAGACCAAGAACTAGAGGGCAAGAAGGAGAAGAAATGACTTGGAATATTATTGTGACGAAGTGCCCTTCACCACTTGTGCCTGGAGGGGACTACTGGCTAGCCTCCTGCCTTCCGACTATGGCCCATGTGCTGATAGCGGTATTTTCCCCTGCAGAAAGGTTTATTTGTGTATTTCTGCTGGGGCGTTCTGGACTTTCAGTATGGTAATAGTGCTATCCAAGATAGCTATGCCATGGAGCCTATTTGTGTAACAAAAGACTATGGAAAAGACTTTGGCTCCATGGCGATTGAATTGTATGTATGTGATCTGAGCGCCATTCAATAATAATGTGCACTCAGATCTAAGCTATCTGGGGATATGTTGCATGTATATGTTTTATGTAGTAATTATAACATTGTGTAATTTTATGTCTTTTTGTAACCATGTGGTTAATGGAGTCTTGCCTCTGTCCTGGGAGAAAATTTGATTACTTCCCAATTATTTCCAGGATAGAGAGGAGGGATTGTGATGTCACTGTGGGAGTGTTTTGTTTGTATTGTCTGTGATTGGTTATACTGGGTCCCACCCTGTGGGATGTCCTCTTGCATGGGGACTTGCATAAAAGCCAGTGTGTGGTCATTAAAACCAGATCATCTTGTACCTTTCTTGAAGCCTTGGCTCATGTTTGGGGGAAGGGATACCTACACTCTGGGGATTGCTATAATCACTTATTCCCCAGAGTAAGCTCTTGCAATAGCTTGATTTGTTCCTGCTACACTCTCTGGATTTAGGAGAGGTTCACCCATTGAGATTGGATCCTGGTCGTGGATCCAGGGTGGGTGGAAACGGCGAGACCCCGGCGCAGCTGTATCGCTGGAAGTGGGGTCTGCAGTGCTGATGGTGTCGGTTAGAGTGCTTGGAGTCCTCGGCAAGCGCTAGGAGCATCGATTGGCGGAGGTACTCAGTCGGAGTGCCAGCGTTCTGTCACATTTGGTGGCAGCGGCGGGATGGTGTCCTAGTGCGAGGACCAGCAGCTCGGAGACACCGGTAACGTGTGGAGTTACGGATTTATAATTGAGGGCAACGCTGCGCAGCGTCCCTACCTACAGCAACCAGTGAATTGCAAATCCGCCTGTCACAGTGCTATGAGGGTGCTGATTTCATGAAGGAAGTAAAGGCATGGCTGGTCTGGTTTGGCCCAAACCCTTCAGATGAGGTGGTCCATCAAGTGATGCGCCAGTTGAGTGCTGAGAACCAAGAAGCACGGAACTTCGAGTACCAACTGTGGTGTTTGGGGGTATTGACACCCCGTCTCCAGCGACAGAGTGAGTTACAGGGAGAGGAGAGCAGCAACCTCCCTTCCCAGCGGCAGTGCACCGTACAGAGGGAAGAGACAACCGGTCTCTCTCCCCAGCGACGGCCTGAGTTCCAGGAGGAGGTGATGGTAGATCCCTCCCCCGTACAGCAACCAGCGTCCTGGGGAGGGGAGGCAACCGTCCTCCCTCTCCAACAGCAGCTGGAGGTGGGCGACCTCATAGACATGTCCAGGGATCACACAGAGATGACAAGCGGAGATGGGACCGAAGTCTCTCTGCCGGCCCTACAGGGATGCTGGGCAGTCAGCCCAGGTCCCCAGCGGCAGTATAATATACAGGGAGAGGAGACAACTGGTCTCTCTCCCCAGCGGCGGCCTGAGTTCCAGGAGGAGGTGATGGTCGATCCCTCCACCTTACAGCAACCAGAGTCCTGGGGAGTGGGGGTGTTACGGTACCTCCAGTAGTAAATGCACAAACCGCCGTTTAGTGAATGCTCCCCGTTCGCAATAATGTGGTCTGGTAGCGTATGCAGTGTAACCATGCGAACCGCCAGCTAGGGAACACTCCAAACTCCCGAACGGTACCTGTACGGCTCTTTCCCTTCTCGAGCTCCAAATGCACGAATCGCCACGAGCAGCCGAACGGCAATAGTTTCCAAGCGGCAAATAATCCCAATAAGCAGTCTCTAGTCGCCGGTAATAAAATCCCCCCAATAACGAGACCAAGCTCCGCTTTGAGGGTAAAACACGAACTGAGTTTACTGTGGGCTACCTGCCCGTATTTATACAGGTCTCCCACTTGGTGGACACTCCCCTAGGGGACCAAATGGGAGACTGGAATAACAGAAGGACATGGGGACATTTCAGACATACAACCCCACAATATTCCCAGCATGCATCACAGTTTCCTCCCCTCTGCTCGGGAGATAATTGGGAAGTAATTCAATTATCTCCCCGAGCAGAGGCACATTGCCATTTTAACTCAAAGTTATAAAACACATTAAAATCCATAACTTTATAACTGCCGAACGTATTGCATTCGTATAACACATCCCCAGATAGCCTGGATCTGAGTGCATATTATTGGCGAATAGCGCTCAGATCCCATACGCATAGTTCAATCGCCATGGAGTCAAAGTCTATTACAGCTCTTCGGTATGCGATTGACTCCATGGGAAGGCCATATGGGTTAAGTCCATTCGTGTTGTTAAATCTCCTGAACGGCCGGTATTCGTATGCTTTTGTCGATTGAGAAGGGGAGGTCGACGGCTTCAGCGGTGTTCGGTTGAAAAAGTGTCCGTTTTGAGTTCCATGAAATAATCGTCGAACACCGCTGGGCTTTCGCATAGTCAAAATGGCCGCCGCCTCGTGGTCGACATACGAACGGCGACCACCCGGTATTCAGTTTTAATTGAGAAGTGTGTGTGGTTAACCGCAACGTTCTAATTGGGATCAATAGGTTAACCAGCAGCATACTTCTCTTCTGGGAGGCCTTCCGTTCGGTAGTTCCGTTCGACAAAAAAAATACATTCCCTTAACTAAGGCAAACGAATGGGGAAATTCATGCAAACGGCAAAACAGACGAACATAGTACTTTTAGTCCATACGGATGGGTCTGTCACGGGGGGCAACCAGCCTCCCCCTCCAACAGCAGCCAGAGATACCGGGAGAGGGGGAAGACAAACCTAACCACACTGGCGCAAATGGCACCGTGGTCTCTGTGCCAGTCCTACAGGGAGGCTGGACGGGCGGTCCAGATCCCCAACCAACCTCGCAGGGATGCCAGGTAAGCAAAACTTCCCCTCCCCAGCTACATCCCAACCGGGTCCTGGGGGCAGTGGATGAGCCTGCGATACCCACTGACCCCCTCCCAGCAGAAGAGCTGGCATCTGGGCAGAGCTCTGTTAGCCTCTGCCCCCCCTTTTCCCCTGTATCAGAGCCTGACTTACCACGGGTTACCCCAGTGGAAGAGCTGGTAGCGGGGCAGAGCACCACTGGCCTCTGCCCCCCAAGCAACACCAGCAGTTTAAAAACTCTTGTGGTGTAGTGCTATATTTACAGATAAAGGGTAGTAATAGAAAACTTGGTATACAACAATACTACCTTGAATATTCTTTATGTCTTTATATTCACATTAGAGTATAAATTCTACAAGACATAAAAAACAGACAAACCAAACATAGTGCAAACTGTATAATAAAGTCCGTTATAGAGAATTAGGAAGGGAAAATTTCCCACTCACAATTTTAGGAGCTAATATGGAATAGCTCAATATCTGCGCTCTTGGGGTCCGTAAAGGCGACCCTCACCCTTCTTGTGTATAGGTATCCTTGATTTCCTATAGAAGTAGAAACCTACTGCACCATATACGGTTTCTACTTCTATAGGAAATCAAGGATACCTATACACAAGAAGGGTGAGGGTCGCCTTTACGGACCCCAAGAGCGCAGATATTGAGCTATTCCATATTAGCTCCTAAAATTGTGAGTGGGAAATTTTCCCTTCCTAATACTCTATAACGGACTTTATTATACAGTTTGCACTATGTTTGGTTTGTCTGTTTTTTATGTCTTGTAGAATTTATACTCTAATGTGAATATAAAGACATAAAGAATATTCAAGGTAGTATTGTTGTATACCAAGTTTTCTATTACTACCCTTTATCTGTAAATATAGCGCTACACTACAAGAGTTTTTGGGTTCCTATTCTCTAAGATAAGAACTAGGTGTGATAGCAGCTTCTTCGGTTATTTAGAACACAGTTCACTGGTTGGGGAATATTTAGCGCTGGTACACCCCCTTTCTTTTTCCTCTGAAATAACACCAGCAATTTGCCTAGCTGCACCAGTGAGACCGAGAGTTCTGCGCTGTCCCACTACAAACTTGAACCAACAGGCCAGTACCATTTATTTTTCTTTGTGAGTGGGCTGCCCGACTAACCTAGGTACTGACGGGCAGAAGGTCAGGTACCTGTTTAGTCTTCCCCCCAAAGGGAAGATGTGTGACAAAGTGCCCTTCGCCACTTGTGCCTGGAGGGGACTACTGGCTAGCCTCCTGCCTTCTGACTATAGCCCATGTGCTGATAGCGGTATTTTCCCCTGCAGAAAGGTTTATTTGTGTATTTCTGCTGGGGCGTTCTGGACTTTCAGTATGGTAGTAGTGCTATCCCAGATAGCTATGCCATGGAGCCTATTTGTGTAACAAAAGACTATGGTAAAGACTTTGGCTGCATGGCGATTGAATAGTATGTATGTGATCTGAGCGCCATTCAATAATAATGTGCACTCAAATCTAAAGCTATCTGGGGATATGTTGCATGTATATGTTTTATGTAGTAATTGTAACATTGTGTAATTTTATGTCTTTTTGTAACCATGTGGTTAATGGAGTCTTACCTCTGTCCTGGGAGAAAATTTGATTACTTCCCAATTATCTCCAGGATAGTGAGGAGGGATTGTGATGTCACTGTGGGAGTGTTTTGTTTGTATTGTCTGTGATTGGTTATACTGGGTCCCACCCTGTGGGATGTCCCCTTGCATGGGGACTTGCATAAAAGCCAGTGTGTGGTCATTAAAACCAGATCATCTTGTACCTTTCTTGAAGCTTTGGCTCATGTTTGGGGGAAGGGATACCTACACTCTGGGGATTGCTATAATCACTTACTCCCCAGAGTAAGCTCTTGCAATAGCTTGATTTGTTTCTGCTACGCTCTCTGGATTTAGGAGAGGTTCACCCACTGGGAGCTGGATCCTGGTCGTGGATCCAGGGTGGGTGGAAACGGCGAGACCCCGGCGCAGCTGTATCGCTGGAAGTGGGGTCTGCAGTGCTGATGGTGTCGGTTAGAGTGCTTGGAGTCCTCGGCAAGTGCTAGGAGCATTGATTGGTGGAGGTACTCAGTCGGAGTGCCAGCGTTCCATCACAATTATGTTCTCTCGATGCATAATACCTACTAACAAGATAACAGTCTTAGTTTGGTGTGTCACATTTGGGACAGTTAAAGGTCTACCATTTATGGCCTCAACGGCCAAGGGTGTTTCTCTCTTCTCAAAAGGAAGAGAAATAGATGACAAGTACGTCTGGTCAATGAAGTTGTCAGCAGAATCAGAATCAATGAGGACCATAGCTTGATGACAAACCTTTCCCCAAGAAAGGGTTACAGGCATAAGACACCTGTAGGTATGCGGTATAGGGGACAAATACATTACACCCAAGGCCGGTCCCCTGAACGAACTTTGGCGGTGGAGTTTTCCGGACGGGATGGGCAATTATTACGTAGATGCCCCTTCTTACCACAGTATAGGCACAACCCCTCTCTCCTTCGGTAAGTTTTTTTTCAGCCTCAGAAAGTCGGGTTGTACCCAACTGCATAGCTTCAGGATAAGAATCAGGTGCTGGTAAGGCAGGGAGTTCAGTTAGCCTAGGATGGAGCGTGATTCCTCCTAGAACCCTTCTTTGCCTCTCTAAATGGAGAAGTTTTTGTCTGACTCATGTCAATATCTGACATGTATTGAATTAACTCTTCAAGGGCTTCTGGTAGATCTCTGGCTGCCACCTCATCTTGTAATGATTCTGTAAGTCCCTCTAAGAAGACAGCTGTCAGGGCACTATTGTTCCAGGTAAGTTCAGAAACTAAGGTATGGAATTCAATGGCGTAGTCGGCCACTGATCTGGAACCCTGTTTTAATTTCAATAAGGCCTTTGCAGGCTAGTCTTTTCCTGCCTGGAGGGTTGAATACGTTTCTAAAAGTTCTTAGGAATAGATCAAGATTAAATACAATGGCATCATCCCTCTCCCGTAGAGGATTTATCCAGGCTAAGGCTTTTCCATCTAACAGATTCATAGTGCACTCCCACTTGGTTCAGAAAACCTCTGCATAAAGACGGATCCCCAGATTAACAGGGAGGAGGGGTTAAGCGAATGGAAGGATTAGAATGAGGCATGGATGGTAAAGACACAGTGCTTTGAATGCCAGCCCCTCTCCTTCCTGCTGGAGATGTGCTGTTCTTGTAAGGATAGTTTGCAGTGCTTGAGCAAACTGATCCATTCTATGATCAAAACCCTCCATTCTGCATTCACAAGCTGACATTTGTTGTCCCAAGTTTGCAGGGTCCATGGCCCTGTCGTAATGTCAAGGTTAGGTTCCCCAACACGCTAACTATAGGACTAACAGGCAACCCAAGCTAGACTTATTACCGGTCCTTAAAAATACCAAATAGCTTTTATTATGAATCTGTTAGATGAAAAAGCCTTAACGTGAAGAAAAGTAAGGAGAGTAACAGAATACTCAGATGAGCCGAGATCAGGGCAGGAGAAGGAAGAACAAATGAGAAACTAAGCCAAGGGTCGGGGAAGCCAGAAAATATGGATGACCAGAGACAAGCCGAAGATACCAGGAAACACACAAGTATACAGAACGCACTCTCAGGCTACAATAGACCACGACAGGGCAATGAAGTTATGTAGGAGAGAGGTATAAATAGGGCTGAGATAGATCTGATAGGCTAGGGAAGAGAATAGGAGAGATTATAAAAGGGTTATGAAATTATGGATTTATGAAATTATGGTAGTATCGCTTTAAGAGCTCAGCGGCAAGCGCGCATGCATGCGCGCGTCCCTGTTAATGCACACGTGCACTGTCAGCCGGAAGCCAGCAGAGCGGACGGCGGGACCGGAGCAGCGTGGGCCGCGAGGAGGTATGACACAAGCATGGCTTCATGCCCAAAACAGTTCCAGGGAATTAGGGCCAGCGGTCGGTCTCTCTTTGTGGAGTACAAATGTAATTACATTACATGAATGGAGCCTTTCAAAGTGTATTGGGCAAGGTATATTACAGGGCCATAGCCACAGGGTAGGAGGCAAGCAAACGGGCCCCGCCAAAAACTTGTGGCACACTCACAGAAAAAGGGGAGTTTGTCACAGTACCTATCCATAAAAGTTGTGACAATACTTTGGTATGTAAATATCACCCGATATCATTGCTCCCTGTATTGTCAAAAATCTTGGAAAAATGCATCCACACGCAACTATGTGAATATTATCAACGATCAAATTATCTGACCCCTGATCAATCAGACTTTCGTCCAAATCACTCAACTTCGACTGCCTGTCATGAGTGGTGGTACGGAGACCTGGATCTCTGAATGCCTGATGATGGGAGTCTCAACATGGAAATGGACTATCAGGGCCTGGTGCAGGGTAACCACACCCCCCTGGTGTTAAGCACCAGCATTTGTGCAGCCCTGATGCCACTTCTGCGGATCCAGGAGCAGGTGAAAATATGCAGGAACTGGATAGGGAAGCTCTGCAGCAGAATGTATCCAGTACTAGAAACAAGGCAAGACTAGAACAGGCACCAAACAAGACAATTAGAATCCAGAACCGGAGCAGGACAGAAAGCAGAACCCAGAACATGTACACAAGACTTTGGCAAAAAAAAGAACAGGACTGTACATGAACTGGGAAGACAAAATAAAACAAGACAAGAGATGCAAGGCAAAATAAGAGGAGACCTATATATGTAAAACATTTTAGATTTAGACATCCATAAATGGCCAAGATGTATGCAGCCCAGCACCAGGGCCGGACTGGCCTACTGGGAAATTTCCCGGTGGGCCGCAGTAACCTGGGGCCGGGCAGACAGCCCTAATCCTTATGTTAATTTTTTTTAAGTATTTTCCCCTCGGACTGTGACAGCCTGTGTCTGTCCGAGGGGAGTAATGAGGGAGGAGCTCGGGGCTGGTGCGGCCGCAATTAGTCTGCCCGCAGCCGGAGGGAGACCTATGAGTCTCCCTGCACTATTTATCTTAATTTCTGCTGCATGCCCTGCCGCCACACACAAGCCACGCCTCCTTAATGCAAGCTCTGCCTCCCGCACATAAGCCTCGCCCCACGCACGTTGTTGACCTCGTGCGTGTGTGTCTGCTAGTGAGAGAGAGAGAGTGTGTGTGTCTGCTAGTGAGAGAGAGAGTGTGTGTGTGTGTGTCTGTTTGCTAGTGAGTGATCTATGACTGTGAACCTGGTGATGTGTGTCAGTAGGTGTCTTAGTATGGACAATGTGTGCTATTGTTTAGACTTTGTGCTCAGAGGTGAGATCCTTTTAAACTAGTATCCAGCACTCAGTGCGAAGATGTGCTCTCTGAGTATAAGAGATACAATAAGCATATGAAAATGAAAAGACCCAGTCCTGGGACAAGAGGAACTTCACAATAATGGGCTTCAGGGCAGCCCAGTGCCATTGTGCTTAGACCACTCATTAATAAAATAAAGACTGACACATGTGGGAGTTGGGTCAGGTCTGATGAGGTTTCCTGAGATCAGGCAGACAGTTTAGGTGGTCTGTGTTTAATTTCAACAGCACTAACTAGACCCTTTCCTCTCCTCCTCTCTGCAAGACCCCTACAGTGTGTCATCC